AACCGTTATGACTTATTGTTGGCACCATTAAATGGAAACACTTCTGGAAAAAACTAGAGCTATTGTTGGTCCTTAATGATGTAGATGAAATACGAGGAACAAGCGCCTAACGCGTCTGGGAAAATGTGCTCACAAGAGAGAAAATTCGTTCCGTCTCAGATTTCCCACTCTTGTTTCCCCTACCAATACCATGTTCTTCAACTCCGAAGAGTACATAGAGCTAATGATAGATTGTTTGAGAAAAGCGATCAGATGATTGGAGACCTTCCGATATCTGGGAAACGACCTGGCCGCTGACGATAGCGCAGACCAGACAGTGAAGGCCCAAATAAACGCGGTTGATGAGATTGAGCGAATAACAATGCTCTAAGAGTTTTAAAGGAAAGTCATACAGAGCAGTGGCGAGACCCTCGATGCTCAACGGGAACGAGTGTTGTCCTTTAGGTAAGAATCACGAGAAACAACCTCACTCAGCATAAGTGAGGGTCCTGAAATGGGCCTACGGTTGAGAAAGCAGCGTCTGCGATGGTGCAGACACATACTGACAATCCTGCAGAATCATCTGATTAGGGAGCCAATGTAGATTCTAGCTAAAAGGAATCGAAGAAGAGGACCCTTGAAGAAACAATGGCAAGACGTGATGAAGAAAGAACTTCGCAGAAAACAAAGTAGTTGCAGAAAATGCCGTAGATAGAAGGAAGTGGAGGCGGCGGACAAGAAATGCAGGCCAAGAGGAGGAATAAGTTCTATTCCGTACTACTAACGAAATGAACACATCAATTACAAGATACTCGAGGGCAATACTTCTCATGAAACAACGTTCTTTAGTAACTATGTTACAACCTCATTACTGTTATAATTTATAGATAGGTATTATTAAGACAATTTTCTAGCATTGGCTGGTTTCTATTCCAAGGCTTAGTTCAGTGTCGATTCTTATTATTTCTCGCGAGTGAAATTCTCAACTGTAACTAAGCTATCCCCTCCCTGAGCTGCTCCCCATACAAGTGAAACAAGTGTGCAGGTGATAGAGCCCAACAAACGCGCTCCAATGTGTAATTAGCGCTACATTGCGAACATATTCAAATTCGACCGCTTATGTAAAACGTTTGCTGATGCTCTACTGCACCCTGCTTACCTGCAACATTCACTTTCGAGCTTTGTTGTAATTGTTTATGTTCTGACACTAATTGTGTTTATGTTTATTTGTTCGAAGTGAAGTTTTATGCGCCAGCAACATTACTGCGCAGTTTGCAGCGGGTTTACAGAGGTTTTTAAGGGCGTGGGCGCTGTTCGATGTTGTCGATAGCGATAGTGACTCATCATGCAAACATCTGCTTTCCAAGCTACTTACCCTGATTTGCAATTTTGTTGTTTCGCACAACTTGGATTTGGACCAAAACTTGGACGAATGATCAGTCTTGGGTAAAAATGTGGTTAGAATGTGGAAGCACCGCTCTTTTCCAACGCTGAGCGTTAGAGCGCTGAGAAGAAAGAGTAGCAGACTTTACTTGGCTAAAGGAGAGGTTCTTAGCCAAGGAAGTATAGTTTATACCTAAGCTGTAGTAAGAGAAGGATCACCGACATGAGTGAGATAATTCGTTGGGCAAAAAGCTGGTGAACAGGTAGGTGTGGGACATTCATTTGACCCACCCACTCCGGTGCACCATCCCCTCCTTAGGTTTAGATTCGAAAAGTTATATTCCTCGGCTAAAAAACTTGTTCCTTAACATCGCTATGGGCTCGCAAAGCTGGCCAGTGCCCCACTTCAGCTACATTCTTACCAAATTTCGGTTTCTTCCTGGGAATCCTGCAACAACACTTTCCACTCTGACCCTTCCTCCACCCCGCCTCTTACTTTGATATGTAGATTTCGGTGTAATATTTGTCCAGAGAAGGATCCAAGCGTATTGCTCCACCCTTTAGTTGCGATGGAATTTCTAATCGAGTGCGAAAGCTTACAAGGTTCTATGTTCTCCACCAAGAGGTGCTTTGCTTAAGCGCAGAAAGAAAACCTATTTCCTCTTCCTGATTGGCCGCCTTCAATGCGTTTATGTGATTCTTCACGATATCTCTAACTTAGTGATGACGAGAGAGTTTCAGCCAATAAGCCAAGCCACTTTAATCTTTAGGGAGGTTTCCGGTAATAAGATGTTGGTTAGGAACATAAATGCATCTATTCAATTTCATTTCATATTCAGATTTTCAATCATTTCCACAGCTTGTGATCTTTGGATTCTGGAAACTTCTGAGTTCTAGTTATACTATGCCGAATTTTTGATCGCTTTGTTGCTAATAATACTTTTTTTTTGAAATCTACTTGATTATCTATCATTTTATCTTTTCGAATAGCAAACTTTTATTCTGTTGGTATAGGTTTATTGAGAGTGTGGTGATCTCGTAATTTCCTCACCCACTTGAGGGCGCCTACGCGTAGGAGTGCGAACAACTCTGACAAAGTTATCCACCATTAACTTGAGTCCTCCTCCGCCCCATTTTTCCGACCCGAAACATATGCCACCATGGGAGAGCCAATTACGTACAGAACGGGTCTCTCAGTGTAGCGCCTTTCATTAAAAGTAAATAACAACTTCTTAAACGGTTTTTGTTTCTTTATTAGAATAGATCCTGGTGGTCCTATTCCTTGACGTACTTTCTGAGGGCTTCACTGTCCTCGAAATGTTATTGACTATAGGTTTCAGAAAGTTTTTTTAGGAAGCTTTTTCTGTAGAAGCTATTGTGAAAGGGAGAGCTCAGCTTTGAAGTGGCTAAGCTAAGTATGTAACACGAGCATTTGATTGGTTGACTTCTTCACTGGTAGGCCACTATTTAGAAATTTCTAGGTTAAAGGATTTCGATGAAATATTTTGGGAATGCCAGTTGAGTCTCACTCCCGACTAGTCTCAAAATCGCTCTATTGCTACTGTTTCTCTTCGGAATCCTTCCCTTTTGATATGTAGAGTAACCCTTGCAGTCGTGTTTTCACTCTTGGATTAGCCAAATAGACAACTGTGCCTAAACGAACATCCAGTCTGATACAAAGTGAGTGACAAGGTCGAGTTTTTCGAAGAAATCTTCGCTCTTGAGAAGAGGATGGTCCTTGTCAAGTCTAATGTCTAGTGTCAAATGTGCCGAGTTCCTGGAAAAGCTCAAAACTGTCATTCACTTTGCATCAGTGAGAATCTCTTGGTAAGTGCAGTGTTGTCAGAATGACATAAATATGATTCCATACCCGGCTAGATAGCGCCATTAGAGGAAATGTGGGATGAGAGTCGATTCTTGGTGGGTCTATAGGACCCGTGGTGGTGCTCAATAAATCAGGCACAGTGCTTAGCTACTTCAGTCCCGAGAGACCTTGAAAAGGAACGCCAGAGCACCCCCGCCGCCTCAGAGTTCTCGTTGGCCCTCGAAAAGTTGAGAGTAAGATAAATGAAGCTGATTAGGTCTCATGGGTTAGGAAGGTTCAGTGAGTTACTCAGCCAAAACCATTGGGAATAGAGCAAAGCATAAGGATTCCGACGATATGACTTTCCCAGAACTTCCGCTCTCAGACGATTCCAGCCTGAGTTGGCCCAAAGTAATTTAATTACCTGCGAACTTCGAAAAATTGTCTGCTAGAGGAGCAAAAGAGTCTGATGACCCGTTCCTTTTCAAGAAAGACCTCCTTTCCTTTGATACGTTACTGTGATCGCATGAAACTGGTGAGCCACGAAGTAATGAAGCCCTGTGGCTTATGTGAAGCGTTCCAAAATGTAGTAGCTCAGATTTATGACGGCACTTTCGCGCAAGATGAATAAGGAGTCAGGAAAGGAAGCAGAGATAGCCATTGTCTATGCACTACTTTATTCTTTTCGCAGATTCTTTTGCCGGGTAGACCATCATCAGGACAAAAATGAAAATTTGCCCCATGACAGATCTGGCTAATCCTTTCACTCCTACTACTCCTTTCGTGGTTGGCCACTTAGTTGTATTTATGGACTTACTTTCCGCCACTTGCCCCAATGTAGGGCTGGCCAGGAAGCTCAAAAAGGGTTAAGAAGTAGAAATAACATAGATAGAGTAAAAAGTAGCGTCTTAGAACCAGCTAATGACGTATGTCGTCGTTTTATGGCAGTTGTCCAAAGATGGTTTGTTATTATGTTGAACAGAGAAATTGCGTATTTACTGACATGAAATATGACAGCTAAGTGGGCAATTCAATAAAATTGATGTTTTGAATGGAAGTCATGGTGGGTTGGAATTCGGCCCAAGGCTACCATTATTCTCGAGAATGTACTTGGAAAAGGCGTGGTCACCCATTCTGAAGCAAACATATTCGGCAGCAGCTTAACTCCCAGCCGCTAGCGCGATGCCTATCACCAAACAGAGTAAGTTTTCTGGTTAGTAATGCTAAAATCCTTGGATCCTCCTCACAATAGAGTACCCAAGCAACTACAGTACCTCGAGCATCTTCGTGAAGGTTCCATTTAGGTGTTTGATTTTTTAGAAGTCCCTCATTCGCCTTTGAAACGTTTCATTATTGCGAATTATTCCAATTATTCCATGTTTTGAGTTCTGAAGGAATTATTTGAACTCGTTACAAATGTTTTTAGCTTACCTTTGCAAAAAACAGTAAGAGAATTCGATTTTTTGTGACTGTGAGCTAACTAGGGGAGGCCCTAGCTGTCTTTGATTACGTCTCCTCCCCCGTCGTATTTTATTTTTGGCGAAAAAAAATATTCTCAATTTAGCACGTAACAGTTGAAGGATACGTACCATTGTCAGGCCCTCAGTGAGGTTCTTGGTTGGAGAGTTTAGGTAGCAGGTTTCTCAGACCGATATCGGTCGACCTATGTTTGTTCCATGTCTTATCGAAGGATATCCGGTGCATCGTGCGTCATAGGCGTTTTACCCAATCCTTTGACCCACATTCTACCTTTCCCCAGTAGCGATTTGAAATCCCAACGTTTAATTTCGTTGTCTGTTATTTCGGTTCTAACTATTTCACGATGTTTTCAGAATCACACAAAAGAAAAATGGTGCACACCATTTTGCTCATCCAACCTACCGTTCGACCTGATTCTCGAACATGGTCTGATTACGAGTCAACCACTGACTGTCTTGAAGGTAATCCCTCCTCGTTTTAAATTTGCCAAAAGTGGCATGACTATGGATTTGGTTTTAGTGAGTTGTTCTTTTGTTAAATTGTATGCATGGTGAAGTGGGCTGTTGGTGTTAGTGACGGATTCAAATAGGATCTAATGAGCTGATGCTCGCTAAGTTCTGTAGCTAAAATCATAGTTAAGTTCTATTGCGGCTTTTCTGCTGAAAAAGGCGGAAGGACACTCATTCTAGCTTCTTCTGACAACGCTATTCTAACAAAGGTGTTTTTGTTCTTATTTACTTATTCATGCATCCTATGACACGCTAGCATTGAATACTAAATTATGCGGAAAGTCTGGTTACTGCTATGTAAAAAAAGAATAAATGAATAGAAAGGCGCTACAGTAGTCTATCGAGAGATTCATCGCTTTTAACTGGTGAGTGAAGACACTTCAGCGTCAGAATATACATTCAACCGTGTAGGAAGAAATCCACTTTTTCCATGGATCCGTCTGATTCGGTAATTGCTGTGATATGAAACACCTTATGTTTTCCCCTGTAGGGGGTGCCTGATTCGTTTAGATTCTGATGATTGAATGGATGAATTTTTTCATGGGCATATGTGTGAATACTGTGATAAACTGACACTTTCAGGCATTTGCAAAATTTATGAGGAATTTCTGAAAAAGCAGAATCCATCCATGGCGAGCATCACATACGACGTCTCTCACCTCTACGAGTTTATCGATAAGCTCTCAGATCTCAGCTGCCTTATTCTCAACACGGTTAGTGGTTCCTTGTTATCTACTGCATTCCTTTTCACAGTTTGAGGGATGACAATATAAAGGGCAAATTCTCTTGGAGTCATTTATGACTGTTCTTGAGTGTGCCCCGCAGTCGACTGCCATTCTGAATCGTAGTAGCGTTTGAATGGGTATTGGACTTATACAATGGCTTGCGGTGGCCATACGATGTACAGAGCAGTGCTTTTGTCCTCCCAGAAAGTTTGACTCCAATGAGCTCAACTCGTGGAGATGGATTGGTATCAAGCCAGTTTGATCCCCGGGTATCAATCCGGGTATGATCCCCATCGACCGTACAATAAAGTGCCAGTTCCCAACAGTTCACCTCCATACGATATCTAAGATTGACATTTGATAACTGGAACTGTTTACTGATTAGATCGATTTTCAGGAGACATGCCAATACGTGCCGCATAACAAAGATTGGATCAAGGAGAAAATCTTTGTAATGTTGAGGACTCAGGCAAGAAATGACTGATTTTTTGTTATGCTTAACAAATCCCATGTATTCCGCATCAGAAGACGTGTTCCATGTCCGTGTAGCCCCGGCATGTTTGCATTGTTCATATTTTTCGTTCATAGTATCCAGTGTATTAATCGATCTCGTTGTCTATTTGCAAAGTTTTCCGAATAAACATTGTCTATGAAACGATTATTACGGCTTGAAATTTGATGCCGATTTGTTTGTCCAAATCGATAACGTTCGGTGAACAGGCTATGCCTTATCGAGCAGCTGGCACACTTAAAAAGGTTTGACATTGGATGTGCATGAAAAGAGTTTTTTAGTTTTTTGGGAAAAACTTTTTGATATGCAGCTAGACAGACTTGCAAAAAGATTCATGCTGTAGATTCAAGATGTCATGGGGCGTATACGAAGTTTTTATAATTTGATATGTCAAATGGGTGACATCTATTATGTCCATTTCATTCTTGAAATCAATAATTCGTCATCGGCGAAAATTCTGTTAACAATTTGTGTAAATTGCTTTTTTGTTATCTTTGCGAATCCTAATCTGAATCTCGGGATAACTCGAGGCGAAATTTAGCAAATGTATTTATTTATCGTACTTGGCGTTCAAGATTTATAGTTTTGCACTGATAAATTTTGAACACCAATCAGTACCTTGGCTTAGGCTAGGCGTTCCAGCCAACATTTCGAGAAGAGCGCAGTGGAAGAGGAGTGGCTTCCGCGTTAGCATTGTTGGAGGCGGAGGAGTGGGTGGAGGCTTTGAAGGGAAGGAGGCTACTACCGACCATTTGATGTGCAATCTATCGAATGACGGGTACTGAGCGAACTGGTGTAGAAGAAAGAAGTGCGGTGAAATTAAAACGCCGAAGGGAAAGGGGGTCCAGACAGTTCGCATCAGCATGGGACGTGCATACCCTTCCGTCACTTTTTTTAAAATTTTTCTCCATTTTGTCAAGCTGCCTCTCTGAAAAATGTCTATCTTTCTTTGGAAGTCTTTCCGTTCGAGTGCAGGGTAGAGTTTACCATGAAGAGGTTTCTTTTCTCCGTCCTTCTCTCTCTACCGACAGCCTACTTGCTAAGCATTAGAGAGGGTAAGAAAGTCGTCCAATGTCTACACTTTATTCATGGTAGTGCACTTTTTTTTCTGTCCATAGACATGATTAAAGATAGATAGCCGTGTGTTAGTATTCGTGGGGGTGGAGCTAGAACGTAGCAGGGCAACTTACAAATGTAGACGGATGCCTTCAGGACTTACTTGGAGCCGGCGATGATGTGTGGGATACATGAAGCCTGCAAAAACTGTCCTTGGTTGACCGGTAATATCCGCGAATTTCGCTTTTAGGTCTACGAAAGTCTTCTGCCAAATCGGAGAGCGGATTTGTCGCTCATTTCGCATGTCGCGTGTACGACATGTTGACGACTGAGTGAGACATAGCGAAATCCAAGCTGATTTCGCATTCGTAAAGTTCACGTCTTGACCCAAAAGTACATTCTTAGCCCCTATCAAAGGGATGTTAGAGAATCGATATCTATGGCTATATCTAGTCTTGATAAAGTCCAACTGAAGGGACCGGATTGAATTTGTGTATTTGGTAGCTCCTAAGTCTGTTACCCAAGTTAGCATGAGAGTGTGTGATCCCAAAAAGTAACTACCCGTTGAGTGTTCTCTGCGCCGTAGCGTTCTTTTAGAGTAAGTTAATTGACTCTGTTTTATTTTATATGCATGTGAATGAGGTAGAGGCCTATTGAAACAGTGCAATTCTCATGGTTACCCCCACATGACAAGGAGGTTTGGGAAGTTCTTCTCCCACTGTTCCTTAGAGGTCGACTTGTTTAACGAAGCGGACGAAGAAATAAGCAGGATCGTCATCATCTTTTATAGGCTCTGAAAATGCCGTTGGAAATAGGAAATACCGTAAGACCCGTTGGATACTGTAGGACCCTACGACTTTACAAACTCCCTGTGTCTGTTTCAGTAAGGTTGGACACGATTACTTGCGAAAAACACGTGGTCATCCAAAGTTTCACGGCTACCTCCCTTTTGAGAGGCTGTATGGATGATCCCCGCTTGACTATTTGCTGCCAAATTCATTCATGATAGTTTATTTGTTTATTTTTTTTTACCATTGTCATAAAACACTTGCAGTTGTTATCTCAAAAGTGCTAGGTTATGACCAAGTAACTCGGCCACAGACAGACATCGGTTCCACGACCGCTCTCTGTGGTGGGCCAGTTGAACTATTTTGGCCGTGGTCGTAGAAGTGACAGCTCGTCTCAGAAGGCGTAGCTGAACTTGGAATCTGTCCAATGTCGAAAGCTTCGTCCTTACTCAAAATCTGGGTGAGGGTGTTCACATGGCATCGCCCTCAGCACGTTGAAACTATGTCGTCGTTCGTTTAGAACTGGCGGGGTACTTCATGACACATCGTCTTGAGATGATAGACCCCGGCACGACGAACCGAAGCTTCCGTGCATGTGCCGACCCACCACTTGTCTAGCTTCAATGACTTCAGGTTTCTATCCCGTGGAGACGATTTCTGGTTCGACTAGTGAGATTGCGAATTAGTGTGGGTAGAATACGAGGAGGGGAGGTGATTTACAAAACTAACTGGTTCCTATACCTCACATATCCCCAATGCTTTTTTTATTAATCTATTTCCTGCTACACGTTAAGAAGTGGAACAAACACGAATAAAAATTTAGTTTGGGTTCAGATTCTTACAGTAATCCCGGTCGTGAAAAAAATCAAAGAATAAGAGGTCAAAATCAGAAAAAGGTGTGTCGTCCGTGACTACACTGCGACTAATACATGCTCTTTCATGACTTTCGAGAGTATAAAGCGGTAATTGAAGTCTAAACTAGGGCTGAATTTTAGCTCCTTCTCGGTACCATACTGGACCTGTCATGCTCCAATAAGCCCCGTCGCGGCTGCGTAGCGGTTCCAGTGGCGCTGTTTTCGCGGACAGAAGGGGTTGTGTTGGAAACTCGATTCGATTGTTCCGTAGCTTGTCCGTTCAGTTCAGTTCGGTGACTCACATACGAATGGAATCCGGACTTTTATGTGACGTAAATTTCAGGCCACTTCTGCTATCGACGAGGGTGTTGTGACCTTGTGCTGTTATGGCACAATTTTGTGCGAATAATCGGGATGTTATTTGCTTTTTGGTCACTAAACATTCATGGAAAGGAAAGTAAGTGAGATTTGTTTGGGTTTTGTGTTCTGTCAACTGTTGTTATTTCGCCGAAGTACGCGATACAAAGGTCTTACATGACTGACGAGTTGTGGGCGAAGTTGTGGGCCTTTTTGCCTCGAATGGAACTTGTACCCATACTTGTGCTTCCCGGTCACCCTGGTCGGCAATCTTGTGTGATTTTTTAAAATCATCACCATAACGAGTAGCAGATCCAGGCAAAGGGCATTAAATTCATCGCTTGAAGGCATCCTTGGCTTCCCTCCCTTTGAGAGAATCCATAAAGTATACTTTGTAAATTACTACAACTAAAATAGTCTTTTCTTGCTTTACCCTTGTTTCGTGGTGAATTCCTCACTAGGCACGAAGTGCTACTGATAACTTCCTTCGATTCTGTCAACAGGACGTTTTATGCATATACTGAACATGATGTTTGGAAACTTTATCTTCGCAGTTACCTTGTACTTTCACCTTTAATGTTCAGATATAAACGAATATTTTCAATCGGAACATTGGCCATAACAACATACAACCCTCAGACACTAGAAATCACAAATCAGGTACTTCTTTTTGTAAGGACGTTTATTTTTGTTTCTCTTCATATGTTTCTATTCTTATAAGATTTATCGCCGCTGTACCCCTTCCTACTCGTCTTTTTTTTAAATCTTAAGGTAATTACACTTAAAGAGTTCAATTGTACTTTCGAAGAGGATTGAGTTATTCATAAGTTTCAGCTTGGGCATGGCGAATTTATAATCCCAACTGAGATTAGATTTGGGTGGTTGATTAGGCGTCTAAAGCTGCGTTCTTATGGTCATGTTCAGATGATCAATTGGAAAGATCAAATACTATACTTTTCCTGCCTAGTACTTAATGCGAATACAGTCCCAAAGGTCAAGAGTGAAGAAGTGTATTTAGAAGTTCCATGTTTCGAACGGTCAGCTATTTCGGGATCTGTCTTCACGGGATATGGTGGCGTTTGCGCGCTTACTCAACCAAATTTGTCCGATTTGATCAGTGACTGGATGCGTAGTGTTTCTTTCTTATCGACAAATCCGGGGCGGCCTAATAGGGCGAGCTGTAAAGCTCATTGACCTGGAGGGGTTTGATCTGTGATTTTATTGTTGAAAGATACATGTGATAGTGACGCAACTCCTCATTACCCATCTTCTGACCAATGTTTCATCCAAATGTGTTTTCAATGTATTTCTTTCTTAGTTCAATTAATTCAATGTTTCAGTGGCAATATGAAGATTTTATCGCGATTAAACCGTCTCCAAGAAACGCGAGTAGCGATAGCAAGCAGGATGAATTTGTCATTCATGTTAGGCATAAAGGAAAAAGGGTGAGTTTTCTGAAGTCTCTATTACATTCTTTTTGTGGAGTGTTGACAGTTTTATTTGGAAAGGATGTTGAATCTAAATAGATAATTTCACCTACACTTTTACCTCTCTTTTCTTCCTTTGAAAGAGCTACGTATCCTGTAAAGAAAATCCAAAAACTTGCAATCTGTTTCTTCGGTTTTCTATATCCTTAATTGCTTTGTTGTGGTCAGCTATGCATTCATTCCCGTCTACAAAAAGTTCCTTCTTAGCTTGTTATGATACTCTCTCTTCTACCTACAATTCGTGCCCTGTTGATGCACATATAGTAGACCACGCTCTGATATGTCTTTCCTTAATTGTCTTTAAATCACCAGCTTCATGTGCTGATTTCACGAACCTTTCTCCTCATCCACTTCCTTGAATTCTGTTATGTCGAGTTTACAGGATACAATGCGGTTTTCGTCAGACTACACCGCTCACATTATTTCTGAGTGTCTTCAGTTTAACAGCAAGTTTTCGGAGCGGAACATGGAGCCGGTTGTAAGTTTTCCTGCTCTTTTGATTAATAGGAAGATATTTTTCTCTCCGTCCACTTTCCTTTTTTCTGTCAATACTCCTTGGTAAATGTATTTTGAATCTCTTTTGTTTTTTCTCCAAGCATAGTTCATAGATTCTGTTCTGTTATTCGATCTTATTGATGAGACTTCTTGAAAAACAGTGAAACTAGTTTCTACCTAAACTTCATGATTAGTGGCACGCAGAAAGATTGGTCGCTTCCTTCCCGAACTAGTGGGTCAGCCACCACCGTTATATTTTTCGTGTCGAGAGGGAATTTGTGTTAGACAGAAAAGCGATCGTTACATTCGAATAGGAGAACTTACAAGCCGTTCATATGAAAATTATAAACTAGCTGTGGTTTAGCACCTTATCTTCATAGAAAACCCAGCATGAAACTTTACAAATGTTGCTGATAGTTTGAGATAAGAACTGTAGATGACGCCTTAAAAGCGATTGCTGGTAGCTTAGTAACCAAAAAAAGTCAGAGGTGGCTGGCAGTAACGTTCAGAGTGATAATTGTTTTCTTCAGTGATTAACCCATGAGCAAACCAGCAAAAATTGATAACGGATGTAGAATATTCACTCAACACGACGTTAACTTCGAGTAGCGCAAGTCCTATAATATGGGGATAGATTTTGCATTCTGAGTGATGTTAGTTAACGCAACTGCTAAAGGAGAAGCAGAAGGAGAGCTTGTGAGATGTCTACCTCATTTGATTTTTCACTTTCTGAGATTTGAAATGCGAGGAAAGGAGTCGGTATCGTCGAGTTTCTAACCTGTTCGCACCAAAGTTAAAAACAACCAGCTTTTCGTCGCTTTCGGCCACATATCATTTATGTGAACCTCGTTGTTAAGAGCAGTGTTTTCCTGACTTCGCCTTTTCATTTGTATCTAATATAATAATACTACTAATTTTTAGGCAGTGAATGCGTACAAACATAGTTGGGCAGATCGCCGGCTACCTGTTATACTACGTGCCAATGCAGCGGCCATAGAACAAGTGGATAGTAGGGGTGTTGTTATTCAAACATATCCTTATCGAAGAATACGCAAAATTTTGAAGGTAGGCTTCGACATCCGCGGAATCTTTTGTTATTTGCTGCATTTTAACATTTAACGTTTTATAAAGATTTGCATTTAAATTTTTTGAGTTATGCTGATTTCAGTCCTTAAATCAGATAGATAAAATTTGTTCAGGTATCCGATTGTCCCGGAGGCTTTATAATCGATGTTGGTGATCACCATCGTAGAGTAAGTGCTTTTCATCATTCTTCTTCCAGTCTTTCGATTTCCTAAATTTCTAAAACTCTGGACTTTGATGGTTTTTTGTTTTCCATCAATTCATTTACATCTCTATCCAGAGGCCCTTCTGTTCCTCAAACCCAATTACGATAATTGTATTGATGAAGGGCCTTCGAATGCTGAAAATGTTTTATGTTGGTTAGTGCTTCCGAGGACGAGCATTTGCGTCAAAAATTCAGTCAATATGTACCTAACCAAAGGAGAACCTAACAAAATGCCGAGCAGAGGCGTCATATCACAAAAGATCCCAGTCTTGTTTATTTGGTTGCTCTTTTACAAAAAATAGCTGTAAAAATCTCACATAGGTGTGTACATTGAAAATGGTCCTTTTTGTCTTTCAGTAATCCTCAAGATATTACAGCATCTGTTTGCTTCAACGAGTTGTGACGATTTTCTAAAAGACGTGCGGCGGATAGCTGCTGATCATATAGGCGTTATCGTGCCCATTACAAAAGAAGCTGCTACTCTTGATGAGTTTGCACTTACGAGGCTCGGCCTTTGCAGGTACATCTTCTCAGATCCTTTTCTGTTTGGTTTTTGAACAGTTTTACCTTTCATTTCGTTGATTACGAACCAATTTTTTNNNTTTTTTTTATTTTTCCAGTCGGGATGACCACATAACGTCCTATGCAGAGTTCAAGGTGCAGAAGCATACTAGACGGCATGAGCAACCCGTTCGTCGCCTGCTTTGTCTCACCGAGACCTGTATTGTCGAGCGTGATCCGGCTTCTTATGCGGTAGTATGCGCTACACCACTTGAACAAGTGAGCAATTTCCGGCTGTTGTTTATCCTCCGTTTCATTGATTTCAATTTTTTTATTTTTCGATTTCTTGTCAGCTTTCATGTACATTTCTTTTACTTATGTAATGTACTAACAGCCATTTAAGGAAATATATTCTTCCAGATTGTATGTTTGGTTCGTTCGGAAAAAGATCCACAGCAGTTCGTTATTGAGTACACGAGTGGTGATGGACGTGTATATTCAGCCGCAGAGAGGTATTACTCTTCTCGCTTTTTTTTCGTTTTTATTATTCTTGCTATTCGATGTTGTAGGGATCTTATAATCGCTTCAATGGTCGATGGAGCTCGTGCTGCCGGAAATGAACAGGTTTGGTTCCCCTATATTGGTTTGGAAATCGTTATGGACAAGTATCACGTGAATTTAAGTCAGATATACCAGGCGTTCGACATACAAAGTTCGAACGATTGTTTTTGAATCTGAAGTACATGTGGTCGCTTTCCATAGATAGTGTCAGAATAGAGGTCTGTTTTGGAAGATTCTGATATACCTCTTCAGGTTTTCGTCACTAGCCACCGCTTTGATAACGCTTTGCGGTTATTACCTCATGGGATAATATTGGACGAAGACGGTGAATCACAATGCATGAGACACGTGATTGCTCCTCCTCGTGAGTAGTCCTACTTTATGGTTTTGCTTTTTTTTTTATCTTTTCTGGTCACCTCATATGAGAATTTCGGCGAACTGGGCAGACTCGTGGTTTTTCTTTCAAAAATAGCGTATTTTGCGGTTACAACGTGCTGCTAATGCTGAAAAGCATTGTTTACTTAATTATTATTCATGCCAGATCATTTACGCTATATTTTGTTGCGATTTGCTCGGCTTCTTATGTATGGTAGTTTCCTACATGGACCGACAGCCTAGCTTTAATGAGTGATCGAAGTTTCTGAGCCTTCACTTCGCCATATTTTCTACCCCCTTCAGTTTTTGTATTGTAGACCATCCCATATCGTTTCCCTATGAATTCCTAGCATGCACTTGCATACCCGTGCTCATAACTCCCCTGCGGAACCCTAGTTTCTGCATAGTGAAGGGTGGTTACACCACAGTCGAATTTGTTCCTAAGTGAAAGTGCAACTTCCACTTCCTACTATCCTGCTCATGATCAACTCAAGCTCAATAACAAGGTCAATTGTCGTTATCTGGTAGTACGACTAAGATTGCCTCATTCTTTGAAATTTGCGATCTTTTATTTGTGACATGACAGGATTTCGATACGTTTAGGACGGGGAAGTCAAAACTTGCTCAGATTCTTCCGACGCTTCTTCTCAGCAGCTCCAACAGATTGTTGTGAATCAGTTTTTGGTATTCTCTGTTTGCCCAGCTGTTTCACTTAGACATCCTTCCTTAAGTTTACTATTAAGTGTTGGGTTGGAAATTGACGTGTTGCATTCCCATTCATCAAACTTTGTCAGACTGTCGAAAAGTGTAACTTCAGGGATTCGCGAGCGAAAGAACGTATGTCTTTCGTTCCAAACCTGAATCTGCATTTTCATAGCAGTTGCCATAACCCGAGACATTAAAAGGTTCGAACTCGCGAATAGCTCAGAGTGAAGCCTGCTGAAGCGTGGGAGCGTTTGGAGAATCAGAGTTGCCTACAGTTTCGATTCTCAAAATCCAAAAGTCTATCGTAAACCACCCTATGTTGAACCTTGTGCTGAATATGGATATGCTGATTGTGAGTTCTGGCGAGACGTCTATTCAATGCGGGGCTTTGTGATGAAGCAATAAAGTGTATGTTCCAGTTCGAGCACCTACGTGATATTTAGCTTTTAACTAACTTTCTCAGGCCCATCATTCCCACCCTTTTCGTCTTTAGACTCTCCTTGATCTGTTCTTTTTTGAACGTCTTGTTACACGCCGTATATGCCTGACCTGAGATTGTTCTGGATGTCATTCTAACTCTGACGGTGTTTCTTTATATGGAAATTTCTTTTCGGCATCTGAAAAAGTTTGGTTGAAAGCAGTTATTTCCATCCCAACATCACTTAACAAGTTCACGACAGAATATTTTGCAATCGCTTTTTCCTCGTTACACTTTCGACTAGTGGATTCCAGTGTTTAAAACTAGAGGATCGGTGGATGAAAAAGTTTCAAGCGAACGAAAATTCAGTGCGAAAGTTATTTTTGTCCCTAAGTTTTACACCAGTCTGTGGTCTGTTTTGGGCTGCCTCAAAGGTTTTTACTTGAAATGGATCTTGGCAACGATGTATGCTATTCGAGAGTTTTTTTTGAAAACTGTGAATGTCGTGAACTTGTTGTACTCCACATCACCTCGCTAGCCTTCATAGTGGCCACAATTTCGGTAAATTCAAGCACTATCTCGGTATTTGTTTCTATTAGCAGGGAAAACTTTGGTTAGCTTCTTTCTGGGATGGTCTTTTGATAGTTCTCACCTGTAAAGAAAGCAATCTTTCCCAATTTCAGCTGGACTGAAGAGATCTGATCTCATAAGACGGTTCAATGCCAATATACCATATACGGGATTAACATATTCTGTATCTCAAGAGGGATTTTTCACCGAAAATAAAGGAAAAATCATCGTTGGTGCATTAGAAGCTGTTCTAGGAGAATGCTACGATAAGGTCAGCTAATTTTTCACAACTTTATTTATTGCTGTCTCATTTTTTGAATTTTCTTCGCTGCAGGAAGACCCCAACTACGTGTACAAATGTGAAGCACAACTGCAATGTCTGCGACGATTATTTGCGTCGAAGAGCGGCTTTCAAGCTTTCACAGAGGTTGCTGGGTGTGTAATATCATACTTTTTTCCATTTATGTGCTCCTTTATTTGACGAGACGTTCAGAGTTCGCGAAAAGCTGGGCACGTTGGTGATACGTGTACTTTCGTACAAAAACGAGGCCATTGATTATGCAACGGTAGAGGCGCTGTGTGCTCTGATGCATCCTATGCATAATCAGTACGAGCTCCGTACAGAACAGTTGAACAAGCAGAGTCTACTTAGCAGTACGAAATTTGTGGAGCATTTGCTGGACCTCATAGTCAATCATGTTGTGAGTTCCACGATATTTTCAGTTGTTACAATTCTTCCTGGGGTAACATGGATTTCCTGCTGTCCGTAAAAAATAGTCGGAAGTGAATTATCATTTACATAGAAATGTTAAGGAACGCGGCACAGGATGGCTTGTAATAGCTGCAATGCTCGATTTCTTGACCTATGCGGTATGCGCACCGTATAGCGAGACGACAGCTGGTGAACAGTTCGATCAGATACTGAAGTTAGTAGCAGCCCGAGGTCAAAGTTTCTATCGCCTCTTCCAATGTCCCAGCATGACGATTGTAAAAGGTGAGATCTCTATCAGTACAATGGCTTTTTTGTTTTTTATACCTTTCAATATACTTTGTTGAGTGTTCCATTTACTTTTTTGGTCACTCACCTTTTGCACCTATTATTTTGAAATCCTGTGGATACATAGTGAGTTCTTTCGGTAGGCGTGAGTCAATGTTCGAAGTGAAACTACTCCTACGTTGTAGCTATCCTTTAGCGGTTCTACCGCCATTTATTCACGTATTATACCTTGTTCTGGGTGCAGGAAGAGAAAGGCACGATCCTTGCATGAGCTCTGGCAGTCTACGTTATTATGGCTAAGTATCGCTTTAGCTATAACCCGATTCTGGCTACCCACGATTTTTACCGGAAATTTTTACCTTTTTCCTCAATTTTCTTTTACTTTTCTATCCTCAAGGCTACTTTTCTGTTCGAATTATGTCACAGGAGGTAATCCAAGACAAATTTGCTCTCTAGTCATTAATAATTCCTTCGTATTACCTGGCAGTTTTGTCCGATTTTTTTGGTTTCTTTTTACCAGAGTGAGAAATGAATTCCGCCTACATTTTTTTGTAATATTTTGCTTGGGATCCGCGCTAATACTCCTACTCTGATCGGCCCCGTACCATTACTTTCTCAACAATATGTGAGCGCCAACACTCCCTTCCTTAGGTGCTGGAATGGTGATGCGAGCTATTATCGAAGAATCGGATGTGGAAACATCAAAAGCAATGCAGATGTTAGCATTGACAGAAGGCGCGTTCCTGACACATTTAAGATTGGCTCTTCTTACAACAGGAAAAGACTTGGAGGTGAGTAGTTTTTTGAAATGCATGTAAGAATGAAGTGCATGCATCCAAAATAGCTGTAGTCATCAATGCATCAGAATTTCCATGCGTAGGTTTTTAGTATCAAGTTATGAGAGGAGATGCAAAAAATGGAAAAGAAAAGCCCTGGAGAATGGCTCGCTTGCGAATAGTGCAATTTTTGCAAATTTTCGAATTGAGAGACATAATTTTGACATAGAGACTTTACAAGTCTTAAATTTGACTAAAATGTTGGCTAAAACTTTTTGATTCAGAAACTTCCTGAGCTCCAATACTATAAGTGTGAGTATAAGGGTTTTCAGTTCAGGATTTACCCCCTTTTTGTGCAAAAATCCCAAGAGCAGCTCTTAAGTGAATTTGACACATTTTGAACACATTTTGAATGGAAAGTCTTCCTACAACAATCCTCTTCCAGGTTCTCACAAATAAACAACTGAGTGGTCACTTGATTGGTCTATGGATTGCAGACAACCGTCCGGCGAATGACCTTCTCAGTAGATGTCTTGTGAGTCTGGAATAACTTTAGATTTTGGCTAATTTCGCTACGACTCACTTAACTGTGGATCATTTCTTTCTTCAGCGAGCATTCTCTCTTAACGACACCTTTCAGCCTCGTGGTCTTTTGGACTTTTTGGATTCTAACGATGTCGTGCCAGTAAAGGAACAGGACTTGTTGATCCCTAGAAATAATCTGGAAGCAGCGACAAACGAGCTGCGGCAGAGTGCATTGAAGGAGAAACTGGAAAGTTTTAGGTGTGGCTGCTTTTTTTCTGAAAATCTTAGGCCAAAAGTGAGAGGTCAATGCGTTGTCGAACATCGATTTTGTGGCTTTTTAGGGTGACAGCTGAAGCTGGCCTTGAACGATTCATTCAGCACTGGGATCTCGAGCAAAAGTTGAATTTCTTGCCTAAGAAGACCGATGTGAGTGATTTGAGTGATTGGCTTTTCAGTTTTTTAATGCTCTTGTCTGTTCCTTGAGAAGTTACTTGTGCTTTCCCAGTGTTTTTTTACCGGTAATTTTTTGGTTTTGCTTTCTCTACTTCGGTACGGGCTTGCTTTTTTTTTAGAATTTTGTGTTTCTGTTCTGTAATGGGATGCTATCATGCAATATTCTATAATAGATTTTTTCACAGTGTGCTTTTGTTTACGTCTGTAGCAAATTTATCTTAATGTAATCAGCATTGGACCAGTGAATTTCTTTGTGAAATGGCATATTGAACTGCTTCAATTTTTGAATGGGAAGGGAAATATCCTCCTCCACTTTACGTGTCAGCAATAATAGATTTGGTAGAATAATTTTCTTAAGGATAAGCAGCGTCAACGGCCAGTGGTTCTACGAAAGAGGCGACAACGTGTTAGAAACTCGGTTAATTGGAAGCTCTTCGCTTATCAGTTTGGAAGAGATCATTCACAAGCCGATCTGCTGTGGAATGAGAAGACTAGAGAGGAGTTCAGGTCAGTTTAAATGCATTTTGAAAATGTAAGTGTAATGTGTTAAGGAAATTTCTTGTATATGGTCTGTGGAATAATATCATTCGCATTGTGTTTAGGTTATCCATAGAAGGCGAACTTCGAGCACTTTTGAATGAAAAGGAACAAGCACCGACAGATATGCCGATTTCGTGGAATCATACGGAATTCCAGGTTTCTGATTCTCTTTTTTCGAGTTTATTTTCTTGTTAAGCAACACTTTTCATCAAAACAGTGACTTAAATTAGTGAATTTTATTTTCCTTCGTCGCCTTTTTTATCATGGACCTTTTTAGACTCGCTACCCTTCACTGCAGGACGAAGTAAAGATTGGTGATTACTACCTCCGTCTTTTACTCCAGGAAGCGGATGAATCGGCTACGCCTATTCATAATCCGTAAGTTTTGATGAATCGCGAAGAATAATTATCTTTTGACAAAACTGTTCTTTTGAAGGACCGAATTCTTCAACAACGTCTATCATCGCTTCCTATTATCGTCAAGAAGTGAAATGAGGTGTTTGTGTCTGCGTGCAATGGCTGTCACCTATGGTCGCCACCACATGACAATAGGGCCGTTTGAAGATGCTCGACACTTTGTCAGCATGCTCGCCAAATGTACTAACGCGGCAGAGAGGGACCATTTTGTACGTTTGTCCTACTTTTTACCAGTTCTGCCATCTGGTTCGAATACTACACTTCCAAGAATGGAGAGAATTTTAGATTTTGCTACTTTCAAAGTTGGTTCTGAACAAAGATAATGTACGTGAGCTGATTGGTTCTTCTCTTCTTCCAATTCTTGTCGATCTAGCTGTACTGGCTCATCTTCATGTGCAACGTGCCAAAGTCCAGAATCAGGTGAGTTCGCCTTACCGTATCCGATATGTAGCTCGTTTTTTCCTTATCTATTGGGAGAGGAATTGATCTATTTTGGCTAGGCTTCTGTGAATGATGTGCAACTAATTGTGCTAGAACCGCTTTGCAACCTCTAACGCAGCGGCATAATCACTTTTTTTGGAGAAAAGGAGAGGGTCTTCAGCTCCTAACAGGGCAAAAGTTAGCGTAAAATGATAGACAGCCAGACGCATTTAGTCTTCCGCCCCCGAATATCCATTAGGTAATAGTAAAAAATAGTAAAAACAGTGGAATAGTGGAAATCAAGAATTTACGTAGTGGAAAGTGTGTGCTATGAGAATGCGCAAGATCTAAAATAACTCTTGAACTCGAGCTTCGAAGCCTCTAAAAACCCCATTCCAGTCAAATGTGATAGAAGCAAGTGCGGATCAGCTGTCAGAAGGAAACTCCGCTGAGTGGTACTACGCAACCACTGATAACAACAAGGAACGACTTGGGCCTTTTTCGTTTGAGAAGGTTAGTGTTTTGAGCCAAATGGCTCTGCTGCTATTGTCAAGGTGTCTAGGAATGACATGCAAAGAACCCCTAGCTAGGAGGATATCATGTGTTTTTCAGATGAAAGCATTGTATGCAGAGAAGAAGATATTTGAGAAGACTGCGGTGTGGGCGGCTGGTATGGAAAAGTGGGAACCCCTGAGTAAAGTCCCTCAGTTTCGATGGACTGTTTGCCTTGGGCATCAGCAGGTACGGCACTAATTTGCTTTTTTTGCATTTCGACTTCACAGTGGACGGTTTCTATCTATTATCTATTTCTATCTATCTATCTATTGATTCTATCTATTTTATTATCCTGCTAGAGCTATGTACTGAGTAGGTTTCTAAATTTTCAAAAAAGAAAAAGTAGAGCAGCACAAAACTACTTCGAAAGCCAGTAAGCTAAGTAGATAATGAAGTTGCAAATTTGACAAAGACTGATGAATAGAGTGCTGATTTTACATTTGCAATTATGCATCTTTTTTTTTATGGGCCGCGTCAATTTATCAAAAGCCTGGTGTACAATAACTAGAAGCAGGAGAAAAGGCTGCCAAGCATATTTTGTTGGGTCCATTTGTCTCTCCATAATTGATTTATCCAATAAGGAACGCAATACCACCTTCTTGTCTCTGAAAGAGCAAGNTTTAGTCTTTAACTGATGTGTTCGTTGTTGATGAAGTTAACATTTAGCAGCGAAAAAGCCTCGATCAATTCTCTATTCGCCGTAAAATGGTTTTCCCATTGTCTCTGGGTGTGGCTTCAGTCAAACAGTCAAGATAGAAAGCGTTGCATAAGTCACAAGTTTCATTTAGTCCTGTCTCGGCACGGCCTGGCATTTATACTCATTTATACTCATTCTAAATGGGAGTAGACTGCAAAGTTGTCCTTCACGTACGCTTGCTATTGACAGCCAGTATAAAAGCCAGATCTTATTTATGGAACCAATCCAGATATACAGGATCGGTCTCTACAGACGTCAGTACAGGATTTAATCTCGAAATTATGCGCGTAGTCACAGTCTCCTTTGTCACAACATCATAGTTAGCGATAAAACCTTCTCAGAACAATAATTTGGGTATTTTCGTTGACAAAATGTTTTACCAATTTTGTTCTTTAGATGGGTACGCCTTTGTACAACTTCACCCAGCTGTGTGCCTTGTGCTTGGATATTATGATCCAGATGTGCGAGTTCTTTCCATCCAGGTATGTATCGCCTTATTTTATGAGTACGGAAATCAAAAAAAAAACATTAATTAGCATGATAAATATCGTGGAGTAACAATATGAATAATTTTTTACAGGGATGATAACAACAGTGTCGTGCGCCCCATGCCACAGGTGAAGAAAAGTCTCACGGAGCCAGTATTGCTTTATCAAGTTGTTCAGTTATTGCTCACCTATGATCCAAGCATTGTGCAACGGGTCGCTACTCTAGTGCACTTAGTTATGCAGGTATATTAGCCTTATTCTTTCGCAAGCTCTTTTTGTTATCTGTGATTTTTTGTAAATAGTTAAAGGACCTGTTTTCTAGGACAATCCATTTCTTCCTCGATTGTACTTATCTGGCGTATTCTTCTTTATACTTATGTACAATGGCTCTAATGTTCTACCTATTGCTAGGTTTTTACATTATACGCACAAAAAGCAAGCTTTCCGTACTGCATTGGTGAGTTTGAAACTTTTTAAGTTGTTTTCTTTGTGTGGGAAGATTTTGCAATGTAGTAATTTTGTTAAGCCTCAATTGGAAGGGACCTCACAATCTATTCTTGCCCCGTTGCTACCAGCTGCAGCCATTTTTTACCTGGATGAGTATGGACCGGACAAATACGCAGAGGTTTTCTTGGGAGAGTTTGATAATCCTGAGATCATATGGAGCACGCAAATGAGGTGAATTCAGTCTGCTTGTTACAATTACTTGTTACCTGATATTGTTTACGGTTTAAGGCGGCATCTCATCGAACGCATTGCCATACACGTTTCCGACTTTTCCAATCGGCTCACGTCCAATGTGAAGGTGAATTTCCTCTGCACAGCAATGGAATCGTTTTTGTAATAACAACTTTTTTTTTGCAGGCTTTGTACCAGTACTGTCCAATCCCGCTAATTGACTACCCTGAGTTAAAGAACGAACTGTTTTGTTACGTATACTACTTGCGCCATCTTTGTGATCGACAACGATTCCCTGATTGGGAAATTAGAGATCCGGTAAGAAGTAGGAATTTTAGTGTTCAGCTCACAATCGGTCTTCAGCTCTTTCGTTTTCCTTTTAGTTGCTAGTTTTTTGCTTTCTTTAGTTGATTCGATCTTTGTCTCATTGTTCACCATACTTTTTCTCCCACTCTGCTCCAGTCTATATTATGAATTTTTATTTGCGCTGTTCTTTTTTCATTTTTTCAACCTTTTCCCTATCGAATTGACTTTAGAATTTACAAATGACCTATTTTTGTATCACTCTCAAAGGCAACAAGATGAGTAAGGTTGAGGCCTCGCCTGAACCTTACGGAACTTGTTACCTAAAGGAAGTTCACGAATTTCTTCCATTCCGCATCTTCAGATTCATGATCTTTTGTCTCCCGAATCTGTTTTATTTAGATTCCTTTCCTGCGTGCCTGTTTAGCTGCATGGTTTGAGGAGTTAGAGAAGAAGCCGCCAGTGATGTCTATTGAGCAAGCACGAGAAACTCTCGGTCTCAACACAATGGAAGATGGGTTGGTTGTTTGATTGAAACCGTGCTTATTTGCCGTGGAGAACTATTTCGAGCTCTGCTTCAAATCAGTTTCATAGCCTCTTTCTTTTGCAGATGGCAAGATACGTCAGTGATTCGTCGTGCGTACTTCAAACTGGCAGCACGATACCATCCTGACAAAAATCCAGAAGGTCGTGAGATGTTTGAGCGAATCAACACAGCGTATGAGTTATTATCAAGTGACGCTGGACGGTCGTCAATGCCTGATCCACATCGTATTGTGCTATTCCTTCAAGCGCAAAGTATCATTTATAGTCGCCATTCTCAAGGTGAGGTCGTCTCTTGCTTATGTACTTTGTTTCTCGAAGTATTACTGTTGGGCTGGAGCCTCTGTCTTTCAGAACTCTCCGCATACAAATACGCTGGTTATGGTCAGCTGATCAGGACCATTGACCTGGAGGCAAAGAACACTGCTCTGTTCCAAGAGGGTGGTGGTGCCCTATTGAGTGCAGCTGTCGAACTGGCCAACCATACTCTGATGAGCAGCGCTCTGAATGCGGAACAACTGCGCAGAGAACAAGGTTTAGAGGTGAGTCATCGGGTAACGACTACTAGTAAGTCCAGTAAGTTATTATTGTCTAGCACTCGTTTATTACTTATTCAGTGCTTGATTTCTTCCCATTACGCTTTGCCGAGATCTCTGAACTGATGGGCGGTCTTGCTTCCCACCGTTCGTCAGTTTGGGTCTTTTTCGCCTCTTATGTACTCCCTTATTAGTCTACTTTTTTATCAGCGCTGTAGTTATTTGAAAGGAGCTATGAGATCATCGTTCTCTAGGCTTTCGTTGGTAGTCCAACGTTTTTGCCCAATGATAGGACATATATTTAAACCTTATTCAATACTCCACTTTACCGTTCCTTTTGTTTATTTCTGTTTCCTTCTCAAAGATATAGGGATGATTCAATAGCCCTCAGGAGACCTAGATGATGCTGTTCAGGCTCTTCAAGTCGCATTCGATCGCTGTGTGCCTGTGATCACAGAGAGCTCTACGCCGACAGATATGGCTGTTCAAGTAAGTCCGGTTCTTTTCCTGACTTCTGTAATTGCAATGGTTGATTTGTTAGTTGGCCTCTTGATTTTCCAGCCTTATTCAAATGCTGAATGAAATGATCTTATACTAAGCCAATTACAGGTGTGTGAACATATCTGTAACTGTTTCGCTACAGCCGCTAGCTTTGAGGCTTGTCGTCAACGTATTGCAGAGATGCCCACTGTATTTGGCAACATATGCCGGTTGTTGCAGTTCCCGGTGGGTTTATTAGCGCTCATTTGACGATTTTCACTCGTTTATAAGACCCCTTGGGTAGTATTCGTGTAGTAACTGGCTTGAAGGAGCGAGAACATTTATATGGACCATAGCAATTATTTAGCTGTCCATTCTTATTTTTTCTCGGTGTCAAAAATACTATCATTTCACTTTTGCTGAATTCATAGTATAAGTTATTTGTGGTAGGGTTAAAGTGTTGTGGTGAATACAATGAATTACTGTACAGCATCTGCCTCGCTTGTCGTCGGCTGCTGCTCAGTGCGTCTGTTCGATGGCTGTGGATACCCTGCTTCAGACACAATTGTTCCAGCAAGGGGTTCTGTGGCAACTTGTCCCGCATCTTTTCCATTACGATTTCACTCTCGATGAGGGCGGTGAGATTTTTGTTCATTGAATTATCTGTTTTTCAGGAAACGTAATAAGTTACTGGCGAAAATTTTTTGTGTAAAGATCTCCTTAACGTTACTTTTTGAATATGTATTCATCATAGGCTATTGTTAAGGTGTTTCACACAGTGAAGAGTCGAACAAGCAAGCGATGGCAAATAGGCTTGCTCGAGTTAGCTGTGAGGCGCTCGCCTGCTTGGCTGGGTTTAGGTAATTTTGTGTCCCTATACATTTCTGTTACGTAGTTTTCTTACTATAAGAGTGTGAGGACTAGAAACAACTTTTTTTTACAGAGAAGCCACTCCTGATAATGATGGTGTGCAGAACAGTTTGCGAGCGCTCCTGACGCCATACGTTTGTCGATGTATGAGAACGGAGAGTAATGATATGGTAAGTTCCCCATGGTGGTATGGTGTTGATTTCTACAAGTTAGTTTTTGGCAACCGGCTTTACGGGTGTGCCTAAACGGTTCAGCCATCTCGTATCAGGCAATAATAAGTGCTACCAAAATATAGCTAACCAGGCCGGTCCAGGCGTTTTGAGCCCCTCTGCGGTTTGTGTTAACTATGTAGCATTTTCCGTGAATATTGTTTTAAGGTGTTCCTGTGAAATCTAGTAAAAGTAGATAGATCTAGGTGAAGGTTCCCTCCTTTTCCGACCTCATAAATGTTCAGCTAGTTGAAAAAAGGACGCGGAGATCTATAAGGACATCTATTGGATGGTGGAAGTCAATTATTTTGCTGTTCAGAAAAGCTTATTCAATAATTTCCAGGTATTGAAAACATTGAACTGCAATACTGAGGACCCATACCTCATCTGGGATAATGGCACACGTGCCGAGGTGTTGGAGTTTGTCGAACGGCATCGCACTTCAAGAGAACAGACGGTAACAGTTTTCCTATTTTACCATCTTTGTAGGTACCCTAGTCTGAAAACAAATCGGTTTGTCTTAAATCGTTTATTTTTACTATTTTCAGAGTGAACTATTTGGCGCTGAGTTCCAACTGTCGATACACGCGAAAGAACTGATTGTGGGCGATATATTTGTGCGCATCTACAATGAACAACCTACGTTTGTTCTTCATGTGTGTTTTTCCTGTTTCATTACCTCGAACTTTTGATTTTTTGCGCCCTTTTGTTCTTGAACTTATGTATCTCATAGGAGCCGAAAAAAGTGGCTATGGATTTGTTGGATTTTATGGGACGCCATGCACCAGAGCTCACCGGTCAACTGAAAAAGCCAGCAAATGGTGATTTGATAGAAATCGACTGGTCCTGTACGAACGCCAATAAAATGTCCACTGATGAAAAGGTGGTAATGTGCACGGAAGCGTTGGCGAATTTGATTTCGGCTAATCCCGGTTAGTTGGCTGGGTTTAAAAGTTTATTTATTACTCATATTAGTTATTTGTTATAATCAGTATTTTAAGTATCAGTTGAGTTATCCTTATGTCTAAGCCATAGTTTTGATAAGTAATTCGAAATTCTTGGTTGGGTTGTAACTTTTGGCCCATACGCACGACTAGTGGGTAAATGCAGGGATAACCGCTTGGACTGTTTCTGACCCTTCATTTAGCGTCCTGCTCCAATGATCGACTGGAAATAAACTAAAGCAAGCTGTCGAGTATAGGAGCTTTCATAGATACGGAGAATTCTTTGAAGATTGGAAGGGGAGGACGTAATTAACATATGCCGCTCATGACAGCGACCTTAATGGTCGCCTGAAAAACTTTCTTCTACAGCTGTCCCCTACAGCGCTGATGCTCCACTTTTTCTGGGAAAAGTATGACAGCATGTTACACTTATTTATTGCTGTGCGAATGTGCAGTACGGATGTAACTTTATCACTTCCACACGTGAAGGGGTGGCCTTCGGCTCAATTGTTACTGACTGGAATATGATACTATTTCGTATCTTTCTTCACTAAACATTGTGTTAAGGAACAAGCCATTAATAATCCCTTCACAGATGGCATTGAGAAAGGCCTAGTTTTCTGTGCCCAGCTTAAAACCACAGCAATATTAAACTTATCTTAAGTCGGGCTTCAGTTTTGTGCTCAAAATGCCGCATACAGTCCACATTCGAGTTGTTAGGGTATTTTTGAAATACCTAGTAAGCAGTACGGTACGGGGGCGTACCAGTTTTGGTTTAATAGGTGCTTGCATCCGACGTAGTGCTGAAGACAAGTGGTAGAACGAATGAATGGGAAAATGATTATTATTTTTAACGGTAACTAACAAATAAGTAACAATAAGTAATACTTAATAATAGACAACAAATAACAAACTATCTTGAATTATGGCAATATACGAGTCTTTTATAGTTCACAAGTTAATCGATGATGAGAGTGAGTTGCCTTTGGTGTTGTTTTGGTTCCTTCAGTGGTGCTCTTTTGACATAGCCTGGCTCTTCCTTTTTCCGTTGATTTGGGTGGCTTTTGCATTTCCTATGTTTCTGGTTTCCTACATCAACATCAAATTTCCTAAACTCTCTTAGGTGTTTCGAAGCTTTGAATTTCAGGGGTGGAAATTCTGCTGATCGGCCACTTCAATCTGATCATTGCTTACCTTCGAGCGCGGCTCCACCCTAATATCCAATTGGCTACTCTTAAGGTAATCAATTCTTCGATTTTTTCATGGATCTCTTATAAAAATTCCATTTTAGTTGTTGTCCTTGGCAGTGGCAAATAGAGAATGCGTACAGGACTTATCAAATCTTCACGTCTGCTCATCGCTGTTCATTCTTATGCGGGATAGGAGAGAAGGTGGGATAGTTTCTTTTCACAGAGCTTTTGTAAGCTTTGTAAAATACGCTTGGAATTCTCTAGAGCCTTTAGGAAATGTTTGAATGTTTTTTGGGACTGCAGTGTTGTTTCTTTGGTTTCTTCGCGGACAACCGTTGCTTCATTGCTTTTTATTAATTTTTGTAGTGGAGTATCCGTTGTTTCCGGCATTGATTGTATTTTGTAGTATATGCTTGCAGTCAAAAAATCGTCTGATCTGAAATTTGCTCGAATTCAAATTTAATGCTCAATTTTTCAGCTCGCACTCTTATCCTTAACACTCTGATAGCACTCTCATCAAATGGTCAAATCGTAAAAGAGATGCTAGACTACGGTAGGTTTTACGATGTGAAGAGAAGTTTTAAGTGTTGTGCCAAGGTCTTTCTGAGACAATCTATTTTTAGGTGGTTTACTGTACATATTGTCGGTTTTGTGCTCATCTGAGAGCGATCCTGGTGAACGGTTGCTGGCCGCTGAATTGCTAACGAAACTTCAGGTAATATTTTAAAATAGCAAACATTTATCATACTCTAGAGAAGTCCAGAGAACCTGCTCATTCATAATGCGAACCCTTTGTTTTCATAATGGGCATGAATAGAAATTACTGATTTTTCGCTCGATTTTAGTCCCCTGTCACCCATGATACTTGAATTTGGTATCTAGGGAGATGTGGGCGAAATAGAAAACAAGGCAGTCTAGTTATCTCTGTCTAACCACTGTTCGTCTTCAGTGTGTAAATGTAGTGATTCCAGTCAGACAAGTTGACCGGTCCTCGTTGGACTCGTTTCATTACGAAGTATCTACCGCCTATCTTTGCCGACGCACTGCGAGATTCTCCAAACACGGCGTGAGTCTTGTTTTTTTTCTTTAGATCGTGGAAAAATTTAAATTGTACCCTCCATTCATATCAAAGTATGATTCGTCATAATTATGTCACGAGAAGTATATGGCTTCCATGCGGGACGTTGTGTCTGATGGATTTTCCAAATATTTACTTACTTGTATGAGATTTTCTTGAACATTGCAGGATTTACTGGTTACAAATGGTGAACGGCTTTTTATAATTTTTTTTCTACCGTTTTTAATGAGACTAAGCCTGTTATCTCATTTGTGAGGGTTAATTTTTAGTGGGTTTGGTGGGGCTACTGGTTTAGATTACTTGAAAAGAGTTTCCTAGCAAAAACGAAAACTGTGTGAACTTTTTGATGGTTGAGTAGCCGCCAAGGCACAGTGAAATCAAACAGTTTGAAAAAATGAGTCCTCAAGGTTTCTACTATTACTGGTTACAGGATCACGATGTTCGATTCGACCAATGAAAATCCGGAGCTAATTTGGAATGAGACGACTCGTGTCAAAGTCCGGCAAATTATTGAGCGGGGCGCAGACGAACTATATCGATTACAGTCTAGTAACCCTGAGCACAAATGGGATACTGTAAGTCGACTAGGTTTTTATTTGCTGCAATTTGCTTACTCGTACATTGATTTCAGGGATCGTTGACCGACAATACTTGTGCCTATGCCGATTCGGTCACGGGCGAGTTGGTCGTAGGTGGCGTTTTTGTGCGGCTATACGTTGCAAATCCAGCATGGGCTGTACGGCACCCGCGACAATTTGCTACAGAATTAATTGAAAAGTGAGTTGGGTGCAAGTTTTATCCTATTACCCATTTATCTCATATTTATTTCAGAGTTTTGGAGCTCATGAACAAGCCAAGTGCAGACTTGACTCTTGTCACGACCGCTTTCATTGAACTACTACGGAATTTCCCTAATACTGCTGATCAGGTACTCTTTTTGTTTGGTATGCCTGTGGTTACATTTGGATTACCACAAATTTTAATCAAATCCCTGATATATGAAGCTAAACAGTTGAAGATCGTACTTATTGGCTATGACGGACATGTATGTTTCAGTTACCCGCGCAAGGATATCTTCCCCAGTTCAGTAAGGCGATGTCAGCTCGAGATCCCCAAACTTCTCGTTCGGCTATTCTGATTCTTCAGCAACTGGCCGAGAATCACGTAAGTCCATGGTGTACTAGATTTTTTCCTTTAGTCTCTCCAGATACCATTTGCTTTGCAGTATTGTGCTGATGCTCTTTCACGAATCAATTGTATCGAAGGAATCATGACATCGATGAAGAATCAGCCAAGTAAGTGTTACCTACAATCTTGGGTAGAAATACTTGTACTGATGGTTTCATATTGATTATTTTTATATTTAAAATGGATTTTATAGCGTTGATGCACGAATCTGCTCATGCGTTGAAATGTCTCATGCGAAGGAACAACGGCGATCTGGCGGCACAGATGTTATCGACGAAAATGGTTGACTATCTTCTTGAAGTGCTTGGTGGGGACTTGCCAGGTATGTTGGCTGGCGAGGGTTGGTAGAGAGTTTGGTATTTTTGTCAGTTGTTTCCTATTTGATAGGATATTCTCAGAACTCTGGTGATGTTTTAAACGTTTCCCAGAGAATTGATCGAAAAATTGAAGGGCACTTTTAAAATTTCGTTCTGGAGGGTTGTAGAGGGTTGTGCTTGAATCTTTTCACTTCTAGTTATGATTCTTACTTGGATTTGTTTAGTTTTTGGTTTTGTTTTGTTTTTAGTTGTTTTTTTTTTGTTTTCAGGTGTTTCGAACTCTCCAGCAGCTCGTGCAGAGATTGTTGACGCTCTCAAAAGTGCATGTTTGGATCTGCAAGTAGGCGAGAAGATCTCAGAAATCCTGAACCGTTCACCAATTTGGGCACAGTATCGGGATCAGCGCCACGATCTATTCCTACCTGCTCAACGGACACAGGCGATCACCGGTAAGTTCTTTGGTATATAGGGAATCTTTATTCTTTTCCTTCCATCATGGTACTTAGAGAGGTACTTAGAGAATTATCTGTTACTGAAGGGTAAAGTTGTGTGAAAGGGAGGGGACAGCCCTGACAGCCGGCGATGAAGTTTCTGGTTCAATTTTGTAACAGGACTTAAATGTGAGGAGGACCTCATGAGAAGTTAGATCGATCTAATCAGCTTATTTACGGTTTCCAGTGGTATCTTCTGATGTTGTTTATTGTTTATAGGTACGTCTACTGGTGTTGCTGGTTACCTCACTGAAGGCATGTTCAGCCCACCTCCTTTGCATACTCAACCACCACCAATGGAAAGGAGTGGCTTATAGGAGGTCCTGAATTTAACATCTGAATATCATCAAATATTCTAAGCCATTGTTAAATTTGCTCTCCACTTTCCTCTGTCACTTGCCCCGCAACTTTAACGGTGACTATTTCCCTTTCTCAGCCTATACTATGTGAATTGCCTGTATATATCATATAGTAAGTGCTTTTCAAACGTTCTTTTTTTTTCTTGGAAATCGAGTATTCACGAGTGTCTTCCGGCGATTAAATGTGATACTGTTGAGCAGTGGAATAGTGATAGGTCGAGCCAAAGGTGTTTATGGGAGGTTCTGCTCAATATTTTTTTTAAGTAAGCAAAAAATCAGCGGAATTTCGCAAAATTTTTTAATCAATGGTCTCTTGACTCGACTCGAAGGTCGATGTTTGTATAATAAATTGTTGAGCAGAACGCCACCTTAAATAGTTTTGGTCCGACCTTTTATATAATATTTATATTTATGATTTATCAATGTTTTCATTTTTTTCGACTTTCTTAGGGATCCCGCTTCCATTGTTTGCCCATATTGTCTAGATTCTTATAAAATCCTCTTATTTCTCATTAACGAGTATCAATTAGCAATGTTAATGCAATATAGTATACAAATGTTTCCGTCTCATCGTTGATTATTGCACAATTTGTAAATTTATTTATGAAAATGAAGATATTTTTCCTTTTTCGGCTTTTCTGATTGGTATTGTGGGGGAATATCCCTCAAATGCTAATAAACTGAAGTCATGCAGTTGGATCCAACTCTTCCCGAGCGGACGGGTGCGCAGAGCTGACTATTACCTGCCAGTAAGACTCGGCACATTTCTACTATTTTCCCGAATTGTGGGTGGGTTCCCGAAGCCTGCAATGGAGGCCTTCTGAATGAAATGCACTCTAAAAAAAGTTTCCAATGGCAGAGTTTGCTTAGGAGAGGCATCGAAGCAGCA